AGAAAAATATAAGAAATCCGCAAGCGAAGAGACCTGAGAACCGGTAAAAGCAGACTGCTATGTTAACACCACATATACACGGTGCCAAATCTCAGAAGACTGCTTTATTCAATTCCAAAAATGTTTTCAAGAAAAGATTCGAAAGCGAACTCCTGTACATCTCGAAGTAGCTCACTTCTTTACCTTTCTGAGATTGTGCTTTCATATTGCTTCACTACTGGGATAAGATGATTTTATTTACTTCAATATGTGGGATCCACAGAAGAACTTGAATTCCCTGCTGCTCCGCCTTGTAGTGTGAGAGAAAAATTAGATTTAAAAAAAACGCTGCAGGTCGAACAGCGAGTGGTACAGTCCTCTGTTCAGTTTTATTCCTGTCTTTTGAGCAGAACTGGATAAGCCAACCGACGATAGATGGAATTAACAGAGAAGTTTATATACTGATCAGGTTACTGCGCCTGTTATGTCAAACTGCATGATTATGTTATGTATGGACTGTACCCTTCAAAAACCTCCTACCACATTCTTACACACTCAGTATTAATGTTTACAGTCCGGTCTCAATCTACTTACTTACTTACTCATGGATCTGAGCCCTTCTGGAGGAGCCGCCAATTCTGCAGCTACTCAAGAATTTCCAGCATTTTATGGAACCCGAAGGTTCATTACCTTGTTCACATGAGCCCTCAACTGGTCCCTATCCCGAGCCAGACCAATCCAATTCATATCATTCCATCCTATCTATCTAACTTCCTTTTTAATATTGTCCAACCACCTACGTCTTGGTCTTCCCAGTGGTCTCTTTCCTTCTGGCTTTCTCACCATTATCCTATACTCATTCCTCATCTCCCCCATTCGTGCTACATGCCCTGCCCACCTCATCCTCCTTGACTTGATCATTCTAATTATACTTGGAGAAGAGTACAAGTTATGAAGCTCCTCATTATGCAGTTTTCTCCAACCTTCCGTCACTTCATCTCTCTTCGGTCCAAATATTCTCCTCAAAACCCTGTTCTCAAACACCCTCAATCTAAGTTCCTCCCTTAATGACAGAGACCAAGTTTCACACATATAGAGAACCACAGCAAAATTATAGTTTTGTATATTATAATTTTTATGTTTTTGGACAGCAGACAAGAAGACAAATGGTTCTGGGCTGAATGGTAGCAAGCATTACCCGAGTTCAATCTCCTCTTAATTTCCTCTTGAATCATGTTCCGATCTTTTATCGTTATCCCCAAATATCTATCTACACAATATAAAATATAATGTTGGGTCGGTGTCATTGAACGGGTAATAAATTAATGAACAAACCCTCTAGGAACACTTCCTATGCTGGTGCCTTACTTAACCTTCTTACACGAACGTACTTGTGAGAAGTATGGATTGTGTACAGGCGCGTCCACATTACTCGTGCTCGTGCTCGCCAGGCTTCGGCTCGTGAGGATCCATATATTTACTCGTAGTGTGTATAGGCTGTAGTGGTATTTTAATTTATTGGCTATAGTTTTTAAATTAAAAATTAAAAATTTGCTTGTCTCGTGAAGTGTCTTATTGTCCACATTACTCGCGAGCATAGCGAGTCACACGAGCACGAGCACGAGCACGAGTAATGTGGACGTACCTTAAGATTCGAGACTTTCACAGCGGTCACTATGAAGAATGACGTCTTCTGGGATGAGGCGCCGGCGTTTTGGAGGAAAGTATCGCTACCATTTTCATGGTAGAAAAATCCGCGAGCGAAGAACCAGCGTGAGCAAGTGGCTGAAGAATGTATTCATTCCTTCATTTACATAATAACTTTTAATATAAGATACGTAATCAGCAGTTACGTAAGAGACTTAACAAGTGTTACGCTCAGTGTTACTTAAGGCTTCATCCATTTTCACCCTCGCATAATAATTATTTTCACCGTTAAAATAGTAAAATTCCAATTCTAATGCGGTCTACAACTCAGGCAAATCTTCCTTGCTTTTCCATGTCAGTTTCGATCATTTGGTGAAAAGACGAAACGAAACCCTTCGACAAGGTGTTCCCTATTCAGCCCGAGTGCAGGATATAGCAGTCCAACTTAGGCAAGAGACCAGTTAAGTCCGTGTGGAGGCGGGGTCGAATACCTCCACCGTGACCCTGCGAGTCGTGAGGCGACGAAAATGAAAGTCTCAAATCCGAGACAATAAAATATGGTCACGACTCCCAAGGAACTTGGACCCGGGAACAACTGCACTGGCAAAGACCATCAGCATATACAAAAGACAGACTCGTCCTCTCGTCAGAGAGGGCGCCCCACAAAAACAAGACCGTAACTGTCAAACAGTAATAAATATCTGGTCATGAGCCTCAGATGGTGCTCGACACCAAGACTTACTGACTGACTGACTGTCGGTCGCAATGTGACTTTGACTTTGAGACCCGTAGAGTTCGTATCTGACGAAAGCTAAGGACAGTTGAGCTCCGACCAGAGCAGAAGACACTTCACCGAGATTAGCTGTGTGAGAGCGGAGCCGGGGTAGCGCAGTCGGTATAGAGACTGGGTGCAGGCTGGACGACCGAGAAGCCGGAGTTCAAATCCCGGTACAGTCAAGAACTTCTCCTCTCCAGAGTGTCCAGACCGGCTCAGGAGTCCCCCCAACCTCCTATCCAATGGGTAACGGGAGATCTTTCCCCGGTGGTAATACCGTCGGCGTGCGAAGCTGATCACTTATCTTCTGCTAGTGCCGAGGTCAACAAAATGTGGATCCATACATTCACTCCCCCATACGTCTTTATGGAGTAGTGCTTAATTAGTTAAGCACAAGGACAACTTTTTTTTTCATTGGCGCTACAGTCCTCATTTGGGCCTAGGCCTACCTCCATGAAACTCTCCGTTTCACTTCCGTTTTACTAAATCTTAGACATACGGTAGGACACCTTGGCCGGGTGATCAGCTCGTCGCAAGGCTTCTACCTGTACACAAACACAGGAAAACGCACAAAAACATCCACGACCTGCGTGGGATTCGAACCCACGATCCCGGCTTCCGAGCGAGAGAACACAGTGCATGCCTTAGACCGCTCGGCTACCGTGACCGGCTACAAGGACAAATTTACTTTACTTAAATTAAATTCACTTAGTGAGGGGTTGAGTCCAGCTGGGTCCACACGGCAGGGCGGCCACTGATTGGCCTATTGTACCTGCCCCGGGTGATTATGATAATGGAGAATTTGGCGGAATGAAGATTGGCAGGGGAAACCGAAGTACTCGGAGAAAACCCGCCCCAGTGCCACTTTGTATACCAAAAATCCCACTTGACTAGACCCGGGATCGAATCCGGGCCGCCGTGGTGGGAAGCCAGAGACTAACCGTTTCTTTACTTACGGAGAGCCGATTTGGTCGGGTATTGGTGTTAACTGGGCTTGAGGTTAGCAGTCAGTAACTCACTCGGTGTTTGCTGGAAAAATTTATGCCTGAATATGACACAACGTTTTGTGTATGTGCATATTCTTCACGCTAATGGGGTGGAAGCATGGGTGCTCTTAGTTGATATGTAGTGCTTCCTTTCTGGGTGCAGAAGCTCTGGGAACTGATTTATGCCGAAGGCTACTTGCTGCGTGACTTGGCGTGATATATTACGCTGAAGATAATTGTAAAAATGGTAAGTAAATTTACTGTATTTTATCAGAATGGTTCGCATCCTTCTGATTTCAGGTTTCATTTTTAATATGGGTCTGAAAATGTGCTGTTGTTTCGTAATACACGTACTATATTTATAACACTTTCATCGACTATAAAATTATTATATTTTCATTATCAAGAAAATAACTCGTTCAAGGACATTGCACCTACATTCTCATATACGCGTTCCGGCCCTTGGAGAGTTTACCTATATTTATTTCGAGATAACACATATGCAGTTTAATTTAGGCAAACGATTTCCATAAAAACTAAAATTCAATCAAAATTGCGAATTTGTATTTGATTTTTTAAGCAAGAATATTCATATTCACAGAGCATCTTTCTATAATGGTTAAACTCTTAAATATTGAATAGGAATAAATATGTTCAGGCGCTAGGAAGGCGTACACGCATACAGTTGGGGCAAAGAAGCTCTGAGGTCCGTTGACAGTTACAAAGAAAAGACGTGCGTTTGCCCGAGGCAGCCGAGTCACGGGGAGCGAAGGGAAGACCGCCAAGCTACAGCGCATATGAAAAGAATTCAAACCTTTCCTATACTGCCCCACGCCTTCTCCATGCTTCGTCTGTCCTATTCTTTCTACGGCACAGCTCAGGCTAGCAGATATTTTGCGTCGAGTGTACATACAGAGAGACAGATAAAACGGCAAGGAAAATATATTCCTGTGACAGGCCGTGGAGGCTCATAGGTTTGTAAGCTTTCGAGGGTGCCACATTTTCTAGAAAATCGGCTCACAGACGGCGCTGGTGTTGTCAGCCTTAAGCACCAGTCACCCTTTACCCCCAGGAGAATTCCTGGTACTCATTTCTGTTTACAGCAGATCTAATCCTTCTAGCCCTCAGGTCGACTCAGCCTCTAAGAGAAATGAGTTACAGAAATGATCCTGGGGGTAAAGTGCGGGTGGAGCATAAGGCTAAAAACCTCGCCTCCATCCATGAGCCGACTGTGTAGAAAATGTGGGAGCCTCGATGTCTCACAACCCTATGGGCATCCACGGCCTGTTACAGCGATATCTTTACCTTTTACATACGTCTGTGAAAAGGTAAAACGTGATTGAAGTCAAATTTTAAAAGTTAAGACAGGGAAATAACATTCCTTTGAATCGATATGTGTAATGCTTTTAGCCTACTTTCTAAAGCCGGGTTATTTGTATACCCACAAGGTGCCCCATCAAACATGCTAACATGCTAACATGTTCTGTGGCGGAAGTCATAAATAAACTGTAAAGAGAAGGCGGATTCCGTAACTTATACTAACGTTGAGATACTCGGTCTGGGTGTGTGGAATTGCAGACTGCAGTTTGACCGACTTACCCTGAGGCACTTACCCCATGGCACTGCGGTAGTTTCTCCCCTTGATAGCATTGATGACAGCAGTTCCATTTCGTGGGTCCTGGTTTCTATCCACGAGGTCCAGAACTGCCTGGGCGTACAGGTTCACGGCGTCATAGAGATAAGCTGCCTCTGCTCGGATCTGGGGTACAGAAAGCAAATGTGGCTCAGAGGTCTTCTGGCACGCGGTCGGGAGAGGTGATTCGCAGGGCAAGGGAGAGAGAGAAACGGAGAACAGGAGAGAGGAAACGAGAGAAACATGGAACCAGTTGCATGAAGGGCACGCTTGTTTCTAAGTACAAACTCACGATCTCGGTAGCGGTAGGGCACGTACTTTACTACATACATACACTGTGTATATAAACATCCTGTGTAAAAATGTCAGAATTTCCCATCAGCATATAAACACTGTAACTTGAAAACTGAATTTTAATGGTGACGTCACTGATTCCCATAGCAAATAGAGTCTACTATCATGGCTTCATAGGACCATCATGTGCTGAGGCTGTTGAGGCCCCTCTACCAACTACACTGACACTGCTCTGTTAGATTCAGTGGGGCAGGGGCCTTCAGAACACAAAGTTTAAAATTCCCGTAAAATTTAGAAAACGTGGGAAGAGTTAATGGCCCATAATCAGGTCGAACCTCTACCCCAAACAGCGACGTCATCAGTGAGTGCTTGTTGGGAACAGTCAATGGCCCATAATTAAGCCGAACATCTAGCACAAACTTCGACGTCATCACTGAGGGCTTGTAAGGCGTCACTCACTGTCTTGTATGCTCCGACGTACGTCAGCGGGTTGGGGAAGTTGAAGGGCGGCTGCTCCATGTAGTGGTTCACTTGCTCGCTGAAGGTCTCGAACCCGACGGGTGGGGAGGGCACGACGCCCAGGTAGGAGCGGAAAGCTCGCTGCGCCACGGGATTCGTCTCGTCCCACAGCAGAGCCTTGAGGTACTTCTCGGGGTTGGCTGGGTCGTACTGTTCCGTGTCCACCCCCACCACCCAGTACTCGCCTGCACAACAGACACATCGGCTTCTTACACCCTTTGTCACGGCACATCAGCCAAATTCAACTCCGAATGCAACGAGGATAGCATGGAATTCGAAAAAGAATTGGGATGTAAAATTAAAGGGCTCGCAAGCTATATTGACGAAGGATTTGCCATGGATTTCTTCGTTTTTTTTTAATTCGCTAGTGGGGGGTGGAGTCCAGCTGGGTCCACTCGGCACGGCGGCCACTGATTGGCCTATTGTACCTGCCCCGGGTAATTATGATGATGGAGAATTCGGTAGAATGAAGATTGACAGGGGAAACCATAGTACTCGGAGAAAACCCGCCCCAGCGCCACTTTGTCCACCACAAATCCCACTTGACCAGAACCGGGATGGAACCCGGGCCGCCGCGGTGGAAAGCCAGCGGCTAACCGCTTGAGCTATGGCGCGGCCACTTCCTCGGTTACCCTTAAAAGATACAACTTCCCAAAACGCTTAATTATTCATCATTTGATTCGACAAAGAATAAACCTCGTAGAGAGGGTCAAGTACAGATATCAGTAGTTGATACAATTATCCCACAAACATCAGTATTTTACATTTTGCAGACATTCAAATGAGCTAACAATGGACCATTGTAACTTCTGACCCCGTGAGGGGAAGTACTGTCGTTAGTAATGTGGGAGGTGACTACAAAGAAGTACTAGTGCTGACGATGTGGAAGTTGGCAGTAAGAAACTTTACTATCGCTGGTAATACTGGAGGTAACTGCAAAGTTTACTAGTGCCGGTAATACTGCAACTGACAACACGAGAGATTACTAACGGTAGTAATACTGGAGGTAAATTCAGAGAAGTTTACTAATGCTGGTAAAAAAATGATGATAATACTACAACAGACAACAGGAAAGTTTACTATCGCTGGTAATACTGGACGTAACTGCAGGGAAGTATACTGCAGCTGACAGCAGTAAAGGTTACTATCGCTGGTAATACTGGACGTAACTGCAGGGAAGTATACTGCAGCTGACAGCAGTAAAGGTTACTATCGCTGGTAATACTGGACGTAACTGCAGGGAAGTATACTGCAGCTGACAGCAGTAAAGGTTACTATCGCTGGTAATACTGGACGTAACTGCAGGGAAGTATACTGCAGCTGACAGCAGTAAAGGTTACTATCGCTGGTAATACTGGACGTAACTGCAGGGAAGTATACTGCAGCTGACAGCAGTAAAGGTTACTATCGCTGGTAATCCTATGGGTAACTGCATGGGAGTTCACTGGCGTTGGTAATAAAACAACTGCCTGCAGTGAAGTTTATGAGCGCTGGTAAAAAGACAACTGACAGCAGGGAAGTTTTTGGGCCCTGGTAATAAGACAGCTGACTTCAGAAAAGAGAGGGAAAACGCCTAACTCACTGTGGATTCTCGTTCCTCCCCTCACGTCTGTACATATTTTACTTAGTATATCATCTGCATCTGTTTCTATTATAGCCGTGTAGGAGCTGGTATATTCGTTACAGAGTTACATCCTTGCGCCGGTTTTCTGTAAGCGGGAAGGAGATAGGTGTAGTTGATTTGAAGATACTGCAACGAGTGGTGAAGCTTAGTGCAACCGTACGGCTACAAGAAATTTAGGATGTCACCTGTCTCCCCTACGTATTTTTGCGTCTGCTTTCTCAAATATACAAGCAGTGTGCATCCACCAGTTGATATGTCGTTTACGAAACTGTGGTATTACTGATTCTTCCTTGAAAAGTATTCTCACATGTATGTGTGTGACTATCAGCGGGGGTTTGAATTGGTGACTCGATTCATTGACAACTTACAGACTCACGACTTGTAAGCACAAGTAATTACAGCACCATCGCTAATCTCCACAAATAAAAAGTAACCACAGCATCCGCTAAGCTTTTTCCAGTCTGCTGTGTTGACACCAGCCGTTCCCTGACAACGGCTTCTAACAGTGGAGATACTTTAACTTCTTGCGCTCAAGATCCCTTTACAGAACTGAACTTTCAACTAACTAGCTCCCATAATGGAGGCCATTTTACAGCAACTTCCTATTCTTCTGCTTTTACAGCCCGACTACCATCTGAGCTATGGACCTCGTCCCGCTGATATGCTCTCGGCATGGACCACCGTAGAGACATCTCGTTTAAATTGTTACAGTCGAACTGTCGCGTGCATACGGCAGCACTAAAGCATTTTCTTGGCCAGTAATCAAGCAGTAAGAATCAGACGGATTGTCCGTAACTTTAAACGTGCCTCAACAGTATCTGAATCCGTCAGCCACGCTGTATTTCAAAGCTCGACAAAAGAAGAAAGTAATATCAGCTGACCTGAATTCTCTGCTTCTAGTCCGAAGATAATAAGATATCAGTGCTGACATACAACAGCGTTTTGATTATTATATAATAAAGCGATTGATATTAAGTGAAACCAATAAGTCAATCGGTTTATTACATTAATCCCACTACATGTTCGGTCTCACGGCACGCCGTAGCGTAGTTGGTTGAGGCATTATGCTACAAGTCGGAAGGATGCGGGTTCAATTCCCGATTAGATCACTGGATTTTTCAATGGACCTAATCCTTCCAGCCGCATTATGGCCCTAGGGTCGACTAAGCCTCTAACAGGAATGAGTAAAAGGAATCTTCTTGGGGGAAAGGGCGGCTGGTGCGTAAGGGTGACAATTTCATCGCCATCCGTAAGCTGATTGTCTAGAAAATGCGGGAGCCTCGAAGTCTCACAAACCTATGGATCTCTACGGCCTATTACAGGGATCGATTTACCTTACCTTTACACGTAAAATGTAGAAAATCTCATGTAACAAAGCCAGTAATTTATAACTTTATATACTACAGTGCGTACAATCAAGTGCGCGCCGCGGCTGCAATTTGNTTTCATATACTAGAACTTGAATAACAACGTAGATTACTGCAGTATTTCTCTTTAGTGTATAATTGTTTGTCTTATAAATTTTCTGGTATTTTCGTTCCTTTTTTGTTTTTAGAATTTTTTTTTTTTATTTTTCTCTTGTTCTGTGGTTCGTTCCTTCCCTGTTANTGTTACAATTTTTTTTATTTTTCTCTTGTTCTGTGGTTCGTTCCTTCCCTGTTAGGAATTTGTTACTTAATTTATCTTGTGTTACTAACAGAAGTACACATTATTTCGTGGGTAAAAGTTTCTTTTGTTTAATTGTGCTTTTGGCTTGTTACGTTTACTTCTTTACTCAAGTTTACTAGTGTCTGTTGTTTTATGTTCATGGTGGGCAGTATTATGCCCCAGTTCGCCTGGGATTTATGGATATTGCGTGAAGAGCTTGCTAACAACACCCGATGAAACTTCCTGACTGGCAAATTTAACTGGCTGAGATAAACTGTTTTTCGGATTGTTTTATGGTCGAAAATTCTACATCCCCTCTGAAATTTGGTTACAAAAGTTCCTACTACTCTATGTAATGAAAACGTTGCCACATCAATAGAAGTGACAGAGAACTCTTAGCTAGCTCCGGGAACAGTCTGGCTGACAGAGAACCAAACGAATTGCCTCGCAAAGAACCCAACATCTCCTATCTCGTATTGGTAAAAAGAAAGTAAAGCTATCCCTGTAACAGGCCGTGAAGGCCCATTGGGTTGTGAGACGTTTAGGGTCCCACATCATCTAGACAATCGGCTCAAAGATGGCGATAAGGTTGTCAGCCTTACGCGCCGGCCGCGCTTTACTCCCCAGGAAAATTATTTAATTAATTCCTGTACTCATTTCTGTTAGAGGCTGAGTCCACCCCAGGGCCATATTGCGGCTGGAAGGATTAGGTCAACTGAAAAAATCAACACCATTGAGATTCGAATCCGCGATATTCCGGCTTGTATCATAGTGTCTCAGATAATTACGTTACCTCGTGCACCCCTCTCTCGTACGAGTATAGACACTCTTAAGTAAAGCGCTGGGAAAATAAACTCATCTTTGGAAATTTTGGTCCTAATGTTTTGTTTTGGAAACACTAATCTTATTGTTAAATCTTTCTAATTAATGGCAATTAAACATAATGTGGCATATATGCTCAATGAAAGAACTGTGGAGCTAGAGAAACAGCTGTTGATAGTGAACGGCTCTGAAACAACATTTGTTTATAGGCAACGGCTCGATAAGCACATTCCCGCGACAACGGATATGCATGCAACAATAGAGGTACTGTTGGGAACTATTTTCTACCCGGTCCGTGCAAAGAGGTTATAAGGAAGACAACTGGGGCAACCGAGTCAGTTCTGTACGGGAATCTGTGAAAGAAAGAAGTCGCCGTTCAGAGTGATCTTGATGGCGTGAAGCTGAAGAATCTCTGCTGTTAGAAGCCGTTACCAGGGAACGGCTGGTGAAGACACAGCAGGTTGTGCTTTGGTGACTGTGAATCATGGAGAGTAGAGATGACTATAATTGCTTGTAGTTCCGAGTCGTGTGTACCAATCGTTAATAAACGCAAGAAAGAAAACCGTCGATAGATACACTCAAAATCGTGACAATAATAAAACTTTTGGGACAAATGTAGTGAAATAGTTTCTAAGTTAGTGTTTATCCAAAATATTAAATATTGCCTGAATGTAGCTTTTACGGCTGACGCACAAGGGAAATAAAAATAAGAATTAAATATTTTCCTACAGGTTTCAAACATGGATTTTCGTTTCCTTCTCTCAATTTCGACATTAAGACACTCTCACCTGTACTTATCAACACATTACACAAAATGGCTGGTGTAAGTTTGTTGACCTACATGTTGCATAGCAAATTTGACACTTTATCAAACTCACCTACCTCTGTGCGCTGTTTGACGTCTGATACGAAAGTGAGTGTGCTATGATTAGGTTCGATTTACACGAAGTCTGAACCTGCTCAGCGGTCTATGCAGTAGATTTAACCACACTTAAATACAGCGCTATCGTTAATTTACATACTTTACACTTCATTGTTGCATACGCACTAGGACTCCCAGTCTTCACCAGTCGTCTCCTGGCAACGGATCTCAACACAGAACTTAGCGCTTCACATCACTGTGAAGTCTTCTTGCCATTTCGTCTTCAATCACTCTGGAACCTCGGAACTAAAATTTCTTCTGGACTCACTCCTCCAGCTTACGGCTGACTCGTAACCGCCCTGAACGAATTCTGTCACTCTCTTTTCTTACAAGCACTCTGCACAGACCCCACGGGAAACACCGTCTCTATTTTTATGACGTCACCTCTTATGCCGTAGTGTTTACCGAGCCGTTGCTTGGAAACAGGTTTCATAACCCCATTTTTCCACCGCTGCTCGGAGTGGACGACATAGAAAACACAGCCTCGTCTATTGTTGCGTGTTGGACCGTGAGTACAGAGATATAGCCTGGCGTTGATCAAATCCGTTACAGTGCGTTAGTTTTATATAAATCGCCTATAACTTCTTCGAAAAATTATGCTTAAAATAATACTGACGTAGTGCTACCGACACCACAGATGGCGGTGAGGTTGTCAGCCTTATGCACCAGATGCCCTGTCCCCCTGGTACTCATTTCTGCTAGTGGCTGAATAGAACCCAGGGTCATATTGCTGCTGGAAGGATTAAGTAAATTGAAAAAGAATCCAACGAGCTTATCGGGAATGGAACTCACGACCTTCCGGCTTGTAGCTTAGTGTCTCAACCAACTATGCTACTGCGTACCCCTAGAAAACAAGATGATTAATATGGAGCAGTTGGTAGAATGAAAATTGGCATGGAAAACCGAAGTGTTTGGAGAAACCCTATCCCGGTTCAATTTTGTCCACCACAAATCCCAAATGACAGAACCTAGAATCGAACAAAGGTTGCAGTTAATCCAGTGATTCGACTGTGAAATATAAGACCTTCTGGTTGATAAGAGCCACAGAGCATTTTGCTGGAACTGGCGACTGAGGCGTGAACGAATTACATGTCCTGTGATATGGAAGGAAGCAAAGGAGGGAGAGTTAAGGAAACATAACACACAGCAGTGCCAATATGTAGCTTTGTAGATCACTGTTTTTCAATAACTGCCAATAAAAAACTCAGCGGCTTTAGTCCGCAAGCGAACTAGACCGCCTCTCTGGTCTAGTGGTCAGAGTTCCTGGCTACAGTTCCAGAGGTCCCGGGTTTGTTTCCCGGCGCTACCAGATTTTCTGAGAAGTAGTGGGTCTGGAACGGTGTCCACTCAGCCTCGTGAGGATAAGTGAGGATTTATTTCAAGGAAATAGCGGCTCCGTTCTAGAAAACCGAATTTAACTTCCGTGAAAATCCATTGCGCTGACTATGCGACACCCTCTACCACCAAAGTTGCCACTAACTTCGCCGACAAACAGCGATCGCTCGGTCGGTCAATGAATGCCAATTTTTTTTTTATAATATATATTTTCAGAGAACAAGAATCAACTCAGCTGCCAATACTGGTGATACGATAACTTCATTAGGAAGATCTGGATGATGGTGATCTTACCTTTGTCGAAGAGCTTCATCTCCTCCATGGCGATCATGAGACCGAGATGTTCATCTTGGTGTCCGAGTATGACGTAGACTGCAACAGCCATAAACACAGAGTTAAAATGTATCTACTGCAGGCAACCTTCATTCATTCATTCATTCATTCATCTATGGCTTTACAGCCCTTTGTTGGGTCCTGGCGGCTTCTTCGCTTTCGTAACCCTACACAGAGTCGGTAGGACTCTCTGGACGCGGGATCAGCCCGCCGAATGGCCGCTACATACACACAGGACAACATAAACACAGAACAAATGCAAAAAGACATTCATGCTTTGAGTGGCGTACGGAGCAAAGCAGTTACTGGACAGTGGCAAAATGTGAACTGCACGAGCAGTTGCTAGACTTTCAAGAAATATAGAGTTCAAAGTTGGGCAGCCTACACACAAGATAACAGCGATGAATTTATCTCGTGTCCGAAGACTGCGGAAATGCAAGTGAATTATGTGACACAAAACGACACTTTGCCCCACCCGGGTTATTACTGTCCCTGTTTTCAAATTATGGGACTGAGGACAGATATCAAAATTATGTTTACGTTTGAATACCGTTCAATTATATTATACTGCGACATGACGTCAAAAAGCCGGAATAAAGAAATCAGACCAGATGTTCATTTCTAGGCAACGACATGGTATTTATTATTTCCCGATCTTCATTTTCATGGGTAAAGGGTTACGTGTTCATACGGTTTAATAGATAGTTTATTGCTGATCTCCTGTGTTCGCTGGGGTGGCAAGAATCATTATGTATGATGGAATCCGTGGTTGACAAACGGGCCGCACATCCTGAGCTCGCTACAGAGAGCAGATAAAGGCTATCAGGACTAATAAACAACATTCTAAATTCGCACAACACATTTTGGAAACCGGACATACATTTAACACGATGGACCAGACCACGAAAGTGTTACATATAGAACTAATGCGCGTAAGCTCTGTAAGACGTTACTAAGGTCATGACTACACGACCTACCCCATGTGAGAAGGGTGCCTCACGCTACAGTCGCTTCTACCGGCATAAACACCAGGCCAACACGCAGCGGTTGCAGAGTTTCTTCACAAAATATTTCTGTTCCATTTTTGTACAATTTTAAATTTTTTATGTTTTAATCTTTAGTTACTAATTTTAACCTTTATATTTTTAATTTTCAATGTTATTATCTAAGCATTTAAAATTTTAAATTTTGACCAAAAAGACTGAATTTATGCATTTAAATAAATTTAAGACATAATAAGGATCCTTATTTGAAGAATTTGATAAAGAAATTGCAATTCAATAGCTGAAGCTTGAGCATTGCACGCCTGATGTTGACGCGGTATCGAAACATGTTGCGTCTGTAAAAACATAATAAATAAAATGTTGACACAGTAGTGTCTTCTTTGTTTTTTAAATGCGGAATATTGTTGTGTAGACTGCATATATATGTATATACCTTTATATACTTTGTTTATAACACACAACAGGATGCACACTATTAAGATCGTAATGAACCTTAAGGTTTCATAAAATGCTGGTAAATTTTTGAGTAGCTGCAGATTTGGCGTCTCTTCAAGAAGGGCTCAGCTCCATAAGTAAGTAGATGACCATCCAGTACTCCTTACAGCTGAATGATCATACTCCTCTTTAAGGACGACGAGCCAAATGTCAGTCCTGATCATAACTACGCCCACAGTAGGCGTGTCTCTTGGTGTCCAAGAGCCAAGTTCGGGGTTCGAATCCCTTTAAAAACTCAGGATGTGTCAGCCACAGCGGACATCTAGCTAGACTTCCGACTTGTTCACTTCTGTCGGACTCCTCGTATCGTCACCCGTTTCGTGAACTTTGTGTGAACCTCAGTTCACCATCGAGTGTTACGTTCAACATCTGTTTGAAGGCTACCTCTGCTACCCGCCGACTCCTACCGCACGTCCTGCTACTTGCTCATCACTCAGTACTCAACAAATATTCGTGCTGTAACATCTGGCGCTATAGCCCTTTGTGAGCCTTGGCCTCCTTGATAACACCCTTCCAACTATCCCCTGCCTGGTGCCTTCTTCCACCAAGCTGTCACCTTTAGAATTCTGAGGATTTGCCACCCTAATTTTGGTCTTCATTTCTTTCTGCTGCCTCCGAGCTGGAAGAAGGTTAACTTCCTGCAGAGCAAACTTTCATCCATCCTTCTTATATGCCCTAGCCACTTCAGTCTTTTCATTTTTATTGACTGCACTATATTTGGTTCTTTGAATAATTTATATACCTCATCATTATATGTTATTCTCCGTGCTCCATTTACATAGCTTAAGCCATAGATTTTCCTTACAATTTTCTTTAAAAAATTTCAGTTTATCTTTTTCAATTTAGCTAATGTCCTGCTCTCGCTGACAAGAAGTACAACAGGTTTTATATATTTTATATTTACTATATTTTCTTAGACATTTTGATCTAAGTAAATTCTGAAATTCAATATTAGTCAATATATTTATTCTAATTAACCACATGAACGATTTCTGAAGACTTGAATTTCAGTTCCAACGATCCAAAACCACAGAATTTCGATTGGTGTACACGAATGTCACACCACTATTCTTCGGGGTACAACAATTTGTTTCCGTCAGCACGATTTTTGTACGATATATACACGATACGTTACTTATGTATAATATATTTATATTCTTCTGCCATTATCAGGTATGCACATAAAAATATTTTGCCTTATAATTTAGTGATAGTCACTTATTATTATTATTATTATTATTATTATTGCTCTATAGCCCTTTGTTGGGCCTTGGCTGCTTTTTCAGTTTATTGATCCTATACAAAATTAGGACTCCTTAGGCGGGAGATCAGCCCATCGCAAGACCTCTACCTACACACAGATCAACATAAACACAGAATAAAGCACACAATGCAGACATCCATGCGTTAAGTGGGATTCGCACCCACGATCCAAGCGTTCGAGCGAACGCAGACAGTTCGTGCCCTAGACTGCGCAGGCACTGTGATCCTCGGTGATAGTCAATAAGTACAGTAAAAAGAAATTGTTAAATTCATTCGTCAGTTGCTGGATCACAGAAGAATTGCATATAATTTCAACCACTGCATTTTGTAAATTGTAATGTAAGGTTTGTATAACCAGTCTGAGCACAACATAGCACCAGTCACTGTGGCACCAAGGTCTAACTGAGGGTCAGTTTCCACTATGCGAATTAAAGCGAAATAACATGAATATCGTTAACTCTCCCAAATGTTTTTCCTCTGTCCGGTGACTCGTCCACACTCAACGAAATATGCATATTCGGCCAGATTTGGCGTTGTTTCCAACTTTGTGAACAATGACATGCCCCCCCCCCCGAAACCAGGCAATGAGCCTCTTTCCTCCCAGGCATTGGTCATTTTGAATGTAGTCTATAAAATAAATTTCTTCGTTCATACAAATATGAATTTTCTCTGTAATTAGATATTACAATTTTACAGTATCTTTCGATGTTAAACCGTAAAAGAAAGACAGAAAGAAATGATCGAATGAGAAGAAAACTTGCGAATAGAAGCAAACAGTAAAGGCTTTTAATATGTCTTGTCCACGCTGAGTAGAAAGTTTCTGCCATTCTGCCAGTGGCAAGGACAAGGGGTGTACTAGCTCCAGCTTTTCAACACTGGGCTCGTTTGGTAGCTTCGTGTTCGGGTGTCAGTAAAGGCTGCTTGTCCTCCTACATTAGTGATGTCCTGTAGAGGTCTTGCGATGGGCCGATCTCCCGTCTTGAAAGTCCTACGAACTGTCTAGTTAGCTCCTCGGAACTCTAGTCGTTGTAGAGGGGTCATAGCATCTCTCGCGGGGCTGGGGGAGTAGTCTTGTCAGCATGGGTACTACCAGCTTGGAATGTAGCGTCTTGGAGTGTGATCAGGTGTATAGTATTACTCCTGGTCTCGGTAGGCAATGTTTTCCGCTCGGGGAGTAGCTCTGAACGTCATCACCGCAAGCGTACAGCTTCGCGTGCTCCACAACAGCGTTTACCTTTCCGCGCGGCTAAAGTTACGAGGTACTAACTTATATAAGATTCATATTGTCACGATTTATTGGTGACTATAGACGAGGTTTGGATTGGTGATTGGATTTATTGACTATTTACATGTCGTAACTGCAATAACTATAACACTATTGCTGAATTCCGCACTACAAATCACTCTATGTTAAGTTTTCTCAGCCTGCTTTCACTAGTCGTTACTTGGTAACAGATCTCAACAAGGGCTATTCCTCTGCAACATTTTCACTAGACGTTTCCTAGTAACGAATCTTAGCAATGGACATTCTTCAGCTTCCGTGGTCACTCCGTTGCCCGCTGGTTAACAATTCACAACTGAAATTTCAGCTGAAATGTAGTGTCGACTGTCTTCAAGATAACGCCTCGGCACAGACAACACAAGAAACACAGCTCTTCTATTGTTGTACAGATGTGTTTACCGCGCGGATGTGTAGCAACGGTCGCGGCGCAGACCACATAGAAAATACAATTCTTCTAGTGTTACGTGCATGTTGCTAGAGTTACCTAGCAACGGCCACTATTCACAGAATCAGTGTTTAGCAACGGGTCTATACGCCACAGTATTCTGACATGAGAGTTCAAAGTCAGAATAGTGAGGCCATAAAAGGCGGCAGTTGCTATGGAACGGCTCCGTAAACACGTGAGTCGGAAGTGCGTGCTAGCCTGCGATAGCGAGTTGTAGCCAGACACGGCTATGCGGTAAATATCGAGACATTTCGGACATGAGGAATTATGAGAGAGTCGGTATCCTGTAAGGACGTGAACACGGAAACTGAGGAATCTACAGCATTAGGAGCCATTACTAAGCAACGATTTGTGAACGCACAGCAGACTGAGATAATTTAGTGCGTGCTGTAATGGATATTAGAGGCCTGAATTCGCTTAGTGTTACAATTAATTACAGTTACTGTTTGTAAGTGTTCAATAAATCCAATTACCAATCCAAACCCAGTGTGTAGTTAATATCACGTGACGATACGTTTAGAAGTTAGTTCTGAATTGTAACAGACCAGGG